ATCAAATTCTAACTTTCTATTTATATATGCAATTAAAATGTAATTTGAAGATATACTATATTTGATCCATAATATATTATAAATATTAATTTTGCAAATAGTCTGTCTAAGTGGTGAACAGGAATTATTAGTATGTAATTGGTCAAGCAAACTGCATCAACATGAATAGGTATATAGTTTTCTAGTTTTTCTTGAGATCTAGTTATTTGGTTGTATTAGTATTTTTTTTTTACTTCTTTATAAAAAGATATCATCAATTTGATGATATTCTATTGTAGAACAGTGGTCTAACAGAACCTTTTGGGTTAGATTTATATTTGTGATGCACCTTTTTAGTACAGCTGATTGCTTAAAAATGTCTATTTAATTCTTTTAAAATACTCTTAAAAGTAACTGTAAGATATCAAACCTAAATATTATGATCATTTAATGTGATTTTATATAACTAATAAAATTAGAAATAATAAAAAATATTGGCAAAATGGCCAAAGTAAAAAAAAAAACAAAAAAAATAAACAAAGTTACTAATACAATCTGCCTAAATAAAAAAATATATATACTGTATATATACTGTAAAACTAATACAGTATTTAACTATATAATACCATACAGTATAAACTATTATACCACCTCAAATCAAAGTACTCTCTATAAAAATTTTTCACAGTTAAATACAAGATATCTAGATACTTTACAGAGTGAAATACTTAGGTATTAACTATGTAGTATATATTATTTCTATGTAAAATATACCTCTTATATAATACTCAAGTACTAACTTGGATTTTAACTGTGAAATGCATCATATTCGGAGTACTATAGTCCACACTGTACAGTAATACAATTATAATAAATAATAATAACTAATAATAGCTAAAATCAAAAAAATTACTTATTTTCTAATGAACCTCTAATCAATATTTCAAAAAACTAAACTACAGAAAAATATTATAGAAGACACCCAAAGCAGATAATATTCTTGGTTTTATACAAATAGATATATTATTAACAAAGTTACAAATATAAAATACCAAGAAATAAGATGATTTGCGCAGTTTTTGTAAAGATCAAACTTTTTTTTTTTTTGTAATTCGGCAATCCTGTCTCTGTTTATTTGAGAAAAAACTGATGAAATTTAATATAACAGCCGATCAGATTTTAGATAGTCACCAGTTTCACCAGTAACTATAGACACGACTGATGACTATTTATCTAATATACTTTGTTATCATTTCTATGAGTGTCGCCAAGGAAAACATACATTTATAAATATGCTATATTTCAATATGTATGTTTTCCTTTGGCGACACTCATATATTGTAATATTATTGCAAGCTACTTTTAAATTATGTTACTAATAGATTTTGAATTAAAAAATTTACAAGCCTTTGGTATAACAAATAATATAAATTTTTAGATAAATTATTTTAATTGCATATATAAATAGAAAGTTAGAATTTGATAAATACAATTTACCTGACATGATTTATTCTATTTGAAGCTTCTATTCGATGTGTCTATCGGTCAGTCATGACGAATTTTAGGTAATTCTAAACAGGTTATTAATTTGTAATACGTCTATAGCAAGCTAAGAACTTTTCGCCTTTATTGCGCTCGACTTTTTTGCCTTCTTCCGTTTCAGTTCTGACAATTGGGATTACTGGATCTTTCTCCTATATTATGATGATCATAGAGATCGAATTAAGGATCGAATTTTAACTGCACATTATATTAAAAGTTTTCTTACCACTTCTTCATCCGGTATTCGTTCAAAAAGTGGATGTTCGTCTAAATGTTTAACCATCCATTCATGTAAATCTTTTACATCTGATATGGTGTAAATTATACCACCAACACGTAAAACATATGCATATTCTGCTAATAGTTGATTACTATCGTATATATTCGATAATTAATACTTGCATTGTTTAATAGGCTTAACTAAGGTTTAAGTTCTGACCATCTGATTCGAACAGTTGAATCCGAATTACAAAATTATACAAGATCCCTAAATTTCTGGTCTGCGTATTAACAAATAATAGTTGACTGCATTCATAACAAATTACTATCTAATAATTTGTGCCTAACAGGCAGGTTTTTACTCAATAAATTTTAAATGACTGTAAAGTTTATTAATGTCAGCCAAACAGACCTAGAATTTGGGGACCATCATATATGAGTTTAAGTTATAGATCGATTCAATTCGATAATTCTAACCCGGTTCGAACTCTTTTGAATCAGATTCAATTCAGATATGATCCAATTCAATTTAGGACTAATCCAAATCAGGTTGAACCAATTTTTGGCTGATTCAAAATGTTCGACCAATTCGATGATCTGGAAGCCTCAGTCTTATCGATCATTGATCTATATACTTACGTTATAACCCTGGCTTTATGTTTTCGGGCCTTGAAATGTGGATCCGGAAATAAAAAGAACATTTTCGATAGCTTTTGCAAATTTGATTACGTATTAATCAAATTATGTTCTGATTTATACATACATTATCGAATATATATGAGTAAATGCCTCATCTACCTGCCCTTTTTCAAAGAAATTTGGCAAAAATTTCATGACATTCATTCTTATTATAGATATATTCTGATATTGTCCTGGATGTTGTAACCTTAACGCGATAATTTTTTCACGTACATACTCTTCAACTTTTACACGGATTTCCATACCTAAAAATTGCAGTGTTGAGATCAGTTATTTTTAAATAAATGCTTAAATATCAGTACTTACCTAGCATTAGTGTCTCTGGGTATAATGTTGAGAGTGAGAAAAGTAAACCACCGTAACCACAGCCCAGATCAGCGAACTCTACTTTTTTTTTCATTAGTGGTCGACCCACTTGTTTGGTGGGCATGTCAAAAGATGATTCAGTAGGATTCTCTTCACAGACGAATGCTGGATAATGGGCGGACCAATCCATTTCAGCAGGACTTTTCGGACTAATTAATTATGAACTTTTAACGTGTAATTTCACTCTTTTAATAAACAAAGGCAAAAATTGTTACTTGCTACTCAAGATGATGATCTGAGAAAGGATTTGAGTGTGCTCGTTGTCGAAAAAATTTTTTCTACGAATGAAGAAAAACTCATAATAAATATTGTTGTTAATTGAAAAAGTTGACGGAATATTTTTTTCACCTGCGGAAGTTTTCCAGACATTATGGTGCGAAATTTGACGAAAAATTTTCTTCGTTTCAGATAAAAATTATTAACGTTAACGTTAATGCCATGAAGCGAATTTTTGTGCATTAGATTATCAATTTTCACGAGCAGATCTAATCATCCAATTAAATAACATGGTATATGTCAAACCAGAATGACAATAGTGAGTTGTACAAAAAAAACTACATTTGCAAGGATTTACAAGCTTGCAGGTGCGTTTTTTGGACTTTGTTACTTTAAAGATTGTATTTTAACTGAATATAATTTCATAAAACATTGGGATCCTTTATGTATGTGTTTGGAATTCAAATATCCTTGGTCTTTTTATTTCTTCTTTACATCTCGTTTAAGCCTCTGGAAACATACATTAACCAAATAATTCACAATCTTTAGCCATCCTTTTCATCATTTCGAAAATGTCTAGTAAATACAGTGCGCTCCCCGATATTGTAAGTTACTTTACGGCTCAATATAGAGCTGTATACCTCCGAAGTTTAAGAATAGTGCATTATGGCTTAATTATCAATCCTGAAAACAGGACACTCAACCTGACGTATACGAGACACCCGACACTGTCGAAGACGCCGAAGTTTCTGACGACGGTGTAAGTGTTTCCATATATCAGTTGCTTGTAATTAAAAAGATAGGTTTCTATCTATGCGTTTTGTATTTACATTGCCCAAACAATTCCTTTTTTTTTTTTAAAACATTAGTTCCCCAGTATCGAGGAACAGAACGAAGATATTGTCAATGATAAAATTACCGTCGGCGAAGCTGTTGATAAATTTAAAGACAGCACCGGGGAGACTGCAGAAACAGGTGCGTGCAATTCGCTGTTTGATATATCTGCTTGTATTAAGTTTTGTTGCCTCCACAACAGTAATTTCTCCAATTTGATTAATAGATGCCGAAAGAGCCATTCTACACAAAAAACAATTGTATAAGCAATATGTGAAACGACCTTTAGAATATGAAATCCTTCCAAGGGATCCTGCATTGCAAGAAACTCCTTTGCAAAAATTGAGAAGATTGCAGTATGAAATACAGGAGCTCAATGAAGAAGTAGAAAAAAAGAAGGTAATCGATCATCTGTTTATATGATTGTTCTTTTTCCTGTTCAAGAAACACACTTATCATAATTGATTCATTAAGGACGAAGCTTCAATAAATACACCTAATCATAGGGCATTATCGTCGCAAATATCGACCTTGCAAGAGGATCTATCTCGCATCAGCCAATCCTTGGGAGATTCTGATCCTATAGATGAACAGGAGGGTACAATAATAAAACAAGCTGAACTGGGTAAAAAGTTGGTTCATCAATTGCAGACTTTCAAAAATATTGGTATGCCTAAGACAAACGGGACAACAAGTGAAACAAACGGAATTGATGAAAGTGCTATAAGGCATGCTCCTAATGCCGAGGCTGGGAAAAATGTAAGTTTGACATTCGGTGTTGGTACAATATTAAGTTATAGTCATTTTCAGTTATTGCCATTGCCATTAAATTATTATTTGTACAATATAGATGATTACATACGAATTGTTTTATTCTCCTGAAACTGCACGAGTCCATACTTTAGGAAAGATATCTGAATTAGATGAACGTATTGCTTCTCTGGAGAAACTCGTAGGAACAGCTCACGGGCAAAATTTCGAAGACCTTGTAAGTTATCATTTAAATTTGTAACTCCACTGTTTAAAACTTTGTTCATCTTTGTGTTAAACACTTTTTTTTTCTTTCATCGACACCCATTGAAAAGTCTATTTCTATAACAAATACCAATCTCATCGCTGCTGTTGATAAGCTTGATCAGCATATGCAAATATTGGCGCAGCCCCGTCATTTGGAGTCTGTTTCTCGAAAAGCAAAAACTCTTGTCGGAGAATTAGAAAAAGTGAATGAATTGAAGAATAAAGAATTTATGAATGGCGGTGTCATTGACTATGATACCAAAGAAAGGGTTTGTATTTGTTTATTTTCTATTGATTTTATAGAAACATACGGTCATTCCTCTATATTAATCATATTAAAAGTACATTATATTAAAAACTTATCATTCTCAATACTGTGCTCAAAAAATTTTATTTAGCTTATAAATATATATCTTTACATAAGCAAAAACTCTTTATAAACACTTTCTAACCATTCATTTATAAAGAAGGATGACTGTAGTTGCTGTTAGTATATATACACAAATTTAAGACAACATTAATAATATGTTTGCTATTTTTTCACCATCAAAGATCAATTATCTTTTCGCCCTTTTGGACAAGGTTGATCCATTGATTTCCATTGCACCAGCCTTGGTCAACCGATTGAAATCTCTGCAACAATTACATCAAGAGGCTGCGGTATTTAGTGATACTATCAAGATGTTGTCTGATGAACAGAGCAAAATTCGTGATGAATTGAAAAGTTTGAATGAAGTTTCTGGAAATGTAAGTAGTGTTGGTTACTGTTTGGATAGTTCTTATGTTGTTACATTATAATGTTAATTATAATTACCAATTTATAGCTTGATAAGTCTTTCAAGGTTAATGAGGAGACTATTCAAAAAAATATCAGCACCATGGATGACCGAGTGACTGATCTTGCCAAACGGTTAGAGAAATTGGGAGTGAAATAAAATTCAATGACATGATATATTTTTTTTTACCTACCCAAGCAATATAAATTATGTAATTGTATGCAGTATATCAAATAAAAACTAATTATGCAATAGAAGTGATTTTCCAATTAGTGCATACATTTGTTAATTTATCAAAGATACATTAATTAATGAGCTGTGCTCAGTAAAATATTTCTTTTTATGCACTAGATTGTCACCTATTCGAGAGTGCATATTTTATTTCGAAGGAATCAAAGATATTTAATATGATAGTGATGAATTGCTAGGCAAAAAAAATACCAACTCCCTTATTTATGATTATTTGGAATGTTTTAAATCCTAAAGTTTCTACATTATCTATTATTTAGTTTTATAAACACACATCTATAACATTAAAATCTAAAAATTCATGCTGCAATCATGTTAAATACGACGAAAATATTTCTCTGAAGAGAATAGTTACAGTATATCAGCTTTTATCCAGTGTACCAGTTACTTACAAAATACGAAACGAAACAAATTTTGCCTATTCGGTAGCTTAAATAATATAAACTATCATTTGTAACAAACTTGATGTTTTATTTTACTACTTTCTTAAATGCGAAACCTATATATATCCCTTTATAAAATGAATACACATTTAAATTAGTACTTCTTCAATTTAAAAATCGACAACAACCTACACGAAGGTAAGACTAGTTTCCAGAATACCCTCGAATTACATATATAATTTTACCTGCAGCTTCCCATTCTGCATCGCTCATCTCACCAAATTCTTTATTATGCTTAATTACAGACATCTTGTACAATAGTTGGCGATATTGTGGATCCTCTTTTGCTTCGTTGTATATATCATGAAATCTCTTTTTGTATATTAATTCGAAACCATATTCTTTTGCCATCCTAATAAAGTATAATTAATAAATGTGAATAATAAAAATGTAAAAGGCAAAACCAAAACCTTAATTATAATATACCTTTCAAACGTTGGAAAGTGAACCAAATATTCTGGACAGTCATTTATGGCATCCTCAAGATAAAAATTATATTTGTGCCCAAAGGTTGGAAATTCATGTTTTTGTTCGAATATTATAGAATATATCGAATTACCAAATTCTAACTCCTTTGGCCCTAAAGTTTTTAGTTTTTTGCTAATCGATAAGAAAAGGCACACAAATTAGAATGAATTGATAACTAACGAGAAACAAAATAAAGTTCTTACACAATCCAATTGGCATCCGTTACCGTGCCAATAAACAAACCACCTTCTTTTAGATTAGAAGATGCATTATTTAAAGCCATATGTGCTTTATGTTTCGTCTCAAACGAGTAATGAAGACATAATTGCATGCTGACGACATCAAACTTTTTATTTCTTATAGACGGAATTGAGGTAATTGGGTTCTAATTTGAGTAACATGTAATTTATATCATTAATCGAAACTAGTAATCAGATATTAGTAGGTAATCGAAAGTTAATGCTTACAGAAAAACAATCTAAAACATGGAACTCTGCGGGATATTTATCTATTATAAAGTAATTTAGTGAGATTTTAAACCATTTTAAGCAATCACATGTGATTAAGACAATTAATACCTTTACAATTAATACCTTTAAGATTCTCCCAACGTTTTTTGGCATCATCAATTGATACATCTGAAAGGTCTAGAAAAAATAAATTATAAAACTTTTAACCCTATTACATACAATATTTAATAATCAAATAGTTTGTAAGTTATTTAGCTCAAAACATACCAAGACCCACAAGCGCAGAAATTTTTGCGGCTTTCCACTTAAGGAGATCACCACCCTTTCCACAGCCGATATCGAGAACGTTAGAATTTTGGCCAACATATCTCCCAATTATAACGCTTTTAATCCAATTATTGAAATTTTTTAAAAACAATATTGTAGATTCATTTCGTTTCTCAACGCCAACATCCAGTTTTTTGTTGTAATGTTCACGAACAACACGGCTATTAGGAGTTGAGGTTTTTGATGCCTTTATCGATTTGTTAGAGCCGAGATTTGCTTCATGTTTTCGCTTCAAATGTTGATCGTCAAATTCTCTATTTTCTTCGTGCTTTCGCTTCAAGCTTCGATTTTCGAAATCTCTATTTGCCATTTTTTATAATTAAAGACGCTAAATCGTGTAATAATTTCTTTTATAAGGCCACACATTTAAAATATCGGAGTACTCGGAACTATATCGCCGATTAACGGCCTTCGGAGACATGTGCTCTAAAAATAATTTTGACAGAGTGCAGGATCGATTTTACTATCACGTGATTCTCGGAAAACAAATGTTGTTAAGTTGAAAACTTCTTTTACATTCGAGTTAGAGTTTAAGTTAAGGTTAGGAAGAACTATAGCGTAGCAAAATTACACAAGGAAATTTTTTTGTTAGGACTCCAAAGACGGTTTACTACACTAAATTTTGAGATAAATGCGATTTATGCAAAGCGAACGTTTGTTTTGATTTTCTTTACGTTACACCTGATCCTGATCTTTGATTGGCTGATGGACGTCGGAAAATCATGTGACAGTAAAATCGATCCTACGCCCTGGCGTTGTTCTCTAAAAATAGAATAACAACCAATCGAATTCAAACATGTGACCTTGTTCGCATTGAAATTTCACTTTTTTTTTAATTAATCAACTAAATTGATTTGTTGTCAACTATATAATTGATTAATTCAATTTTCATTCACTCTATACAGTCAAACCTTGTTATAGTCACTATATACCTTGTTATAGTCACGCTATTTTTCTATTATAAATCATATAAAAGCTGACCTTTATATAGTCACAACTTTTGTAATCACCAAATTTTGGTTTCCCAACCTGGTGATTATTTAAGGTGATTATATCAAGGTCATTGTTATCCACAAGTCGCCCATTGTAGAGATTGCTTTACATGCAAATCACTCTAATGAAGTGATCTGTTCCATTATTTTCAATGATATGAATATATTGAAAAATTTCCGTCACCTTTAGAAAAACTGTTTATTAAACACGAACGATATAAATATATTTAACATCAATGTAATATGTTATTATTAAAGTTTATTTTATATTTGGAGCCGCTTTTATATTTCTTGTCAAGATTTATTAGTCGACAAGAACGACATACTAAACAAAAAAAAAAATTTATAACATTGATATTATTGTCATAACGATCTGTCAAACAATCATTAATAATACAAAAATAACTTTTATTAGATCAGCCGAAAAATCATTCGAAAACAGTTGTAAATAATGTGCCCAGTTTAAGCTAACTTACTTGAGCCAACTTACTTGAGCTGGCTTGAGCCATCAGCTCGAGCTGGTTCGGCTTGGCTTTTTGAGCCAAGCCGTGCTTGCTTAAGCTGATCCCATCCCTACTGCCACTCGCTGAAAAGGTTCTTTGAGGTGTCTAGCTAAAGCATCTGTCTTATTTCAGTTTTTTTGGGGATAATATTTATAATAAGCAATCCTCATAAGTCATGAAGTAATGAATAGACAAGAATTAATGCATATAAAAACCTTTGCCTTTAATATTCCTAATTCGACATCAGGCTTTGCGACAAGACATAGTAGCATATTACTAACTGTCGTGACAGCAACATTTCCTTCCTTTAAAGTTTGAACGATTTTTGAATGAAAATTAATTGTCAACAAAGTAATTAATACATTATCAATAATCGATATATACATATATTTATTTTATTTTATTTTTTTTTTACCTCACACTCTATTAACAAAAACTTTAAACCATCATCTTTCATTAAATTTTTTCCGCTTTTTTCAAAAGTACACCAAATATTAGATACTATAGCTGCATAAATTCTGGCATCACGATCCGAATCAGAAACAAAAGCTAAAGGAGAACCTTCAGAATTCAGAAGACTTTAAAAGAATTCGTCAGCTAAAGATTCTACAATACATGAACACATATGCAAGAAGGTAGGACATACAGTGTTGCTTTAACGCCACCGGTGGTCGCTTGTTTAAGAACAAGTGAAATTGTTTTCGGTTTAAGCATTGGTAAAAAAAGAACGATAATAATGATAAAGGTTTCTTTATATTACAGTCCGGGATTTTACCAAAAATAGGGTCGTCAACATAGCGGGCTTTATTTTAATTGGGTGATCGACACAAAATGTTGCACAATATGTTCTACATAGTGGCGTAACGTTTTGCGTTACAAAAATGATTTGGCAGCCACAAATACGAATTGGCCAAACTCGATACCAAAAAAAATCAAAAGAATACCTTCTGGCCTATAAACTGTCAAAGTAATTCGGTAATCCACAAAGTAATTCGGAAGTTAGATGAGAGGTAAGTTTGACCGTTTAAGTTTAACTTATAGATACGCATTAAAAAAATCTGTGCTTAGTTGTAGCTTAGTTGTGCATGATTAAAATCAGATTTGACGTAGCACGATCAAAACAAACGTTCGTTTTGCCAAAAAATCGCTTCTTTCACTAACAAAAAGTTTTTCTTGTGCGATTTTACTATATAACCAATTAGCTTTTAACTTTATACGAAATGCTAACCCTAACATTAATGAACTTTAAAGAATTTTATATAATGATCGGCAGCATGCATAACCTGGCACAGAACAAGGAATCAATTAATAAAATCAATATCAGTTCATTAGGTCATACAAAATTAATTTTTGTTTCTTTAAAAAATTTATATATGAGTGCCGCCAAGGGAAAACCTGTATCCGGAAAGTACAGGTTAATATCATTACGATGAATTACTAATGATTTTAATAACCTGTACTTTCCGGATACAGGTTTCCCTTGGCGGCACATATAAAATTTTAAAAAAAAAAATTTTTGAAACCCATAATTTCTGAAACACCTGATAAAAATTTGCCGAGTGGTTTTTTGACCGGTCCGGTTAAGTTATTGATTTCGGCATATCGATAAATTACAATTTATGTTACGTTATATACATTTAAATTACAATTTATGATATATAAATTACATTGTAATTTGAAATATATGTTTTCGCACAGACTAAACACACTACAGCACTAAACATGGGCAAGTATTTAAACGAAAATTTAGTAATATTGAACATGCCAACAGTTTATAATGTTAAAATTATCGTAGAAAAGTATCCGTTCGTACGTACGTAATTTTTGTTATGTTGTCCAGAACTTTTATAGAGCTGGCACACAAAGTCTAATAATGCTGGCAAAATTTGTCAATAATCATGTGCCACTGCATTAATTAATGTTATCTTGTAATTTTATTGAATCTATTATGCCGAAATAATAACTTAACCGGAACGGCCTAAAAATCATTCGGCAGATTTTTTTATCAGGTGGTTCAGAAATTATGAAAACAGCTGCAAAACATATAAAAACATTCTTCAAAAAGTTTCCAAAATTTGACCTGGCCGGGTTATGAGAAACAATTACACCATAATTCTTAATTAACGAATCATGATTTATTTTTTTAGACAATAAAATTCTTATTTAGATTTATATTAACTTTTACAAATTAATAACTCCGGTTTCCGTGGATACTAGAAAAAAAACCACTAACTATATAGTTTATATAAAATAAATCGTACCTTAAACTTATAATTAAGAAATTCCAAATCCACTTAAATTCCGTTCCCAAGCATTTTTTTAACGTCATCCTAATCATTATTATAAATATTTTATTAACATCGCCATTAAAATATTCCTCCATATATACTGATGTATTTAATATTAAAATCAGCTATCCAGATGATATAACAAGTTTTATTGTATCAAAATTCACAATCATTTTTAATGTTTTTTATAACAAAACAATGATTTTATTATAATTTTTTGTTTGTTAGCACATATACTGCATATAAAAAAATAATAATACATATTTTTTTCTCTTTTTTGATCGTCCATTTCATTTCACCTTAGCTAATTTAGTCAATGAAGGATAAATAAAACTTATTACCACCAAAAGCCTATATTATATAGGGTTTATAAAGCCAATCAAATTAATAATCTTCCATCTTTTTGTATTATAATATATATAAATATCTATTCAACCTTAATCCTGATCTCTCATAAAGTCCTTCCTGGTTACTTTTGATATTAAATGCGCATATGTTGTATTTATTAACATTAATTTAACAAATTTGATTGGTTTTTGAGTCGGATACTATTGATCGAAAATGGGATATATATTTGGGTTTTGATTTTGTTCCCAAATTAAGTAGAAATCCTGTTTCCCAAACCTAAACTATGTGGTAATGTCATCATTCAAAAAATTGGTTTGGGTCGAAACCCTATAGACCATCCTTTCCACGTGCATCTATGGGTTTGTAACACTACTTTGGCTTCTCAATGTCTTACCACGTAAGGAATTCTTTAGAGCACGCATGGCAAATACGGTTAATCCAATACCTTGCCAATCTTCGTCAATTAGTGCTCGTAAATTGCCAACAGTCTCGATTTCTTGCTTTTTTAGTTTTTCTGTCCATTCCTTTGCTTTTTCGGGGTCTTTGTTTGTTGCAAGGACAACTTCAAGAACAAAATCTTCAATTGGTGTTTTATCTGGATATTCTGTAACAATATCGTAAATTTAATGTTAGAACAATTAATAAGAATACTGCAAATGTAATTCAAATTCGGACCTTTAACGGGATGTGTTTCATCAAATTCTTGATTCCATTCTGCCTGTCCACCAGGAAGGGAATTCCTTCGCGATGGTTCTGCCATTATTTGTTGTTGTGATAACGTGCTAGTTGGGCTATCCCGTTCGAGGACCATCGGCGTAGGAACAGGTGTATGAGAGGATCTCTGGGGTTGTAAATGTGGAGACATTCCCACATGAAAAGGCGGTGTTATTGGTTGTGATGGCCATGATGTCTTGTGCTCTTCTTTCTTTGATTCATCCTCACTTGTTGATTTATTAATGTCACGTAAAATACGATTTATCTCATGAGTTACAAGTTGTTGATACTGATCTTTAAGAACTTTCTCCTCGATCTTTATAAATAAAGTGAAATGAGAACATAATGGAAATAAACCTTTCAAGTATAAAATAATAATAATTATCGTACAGACATGTTGTTATTGTCATAACTAATGCTAAAGAATTTTACACAACGGTTTATACCATTTTAGTGCCACATTACTTATTTGTATGATCAAATACTCATGATAATAAAAACTGCCTGACGATAATAACGTTATCATATGAGTCTGGGAACCGGTTTTAACGTATGACAAATAAAACTGGTTCCAAATTCTAATTATATGAAGGCAAAAAAGGTACAAATGTTCATCAGTAATCGAACCAAATGTCTGTCAAATGTATTTGATCACTATTGCGACCACAAAACATCTTACAGATATACGATTCGATTCCTGATCTATACCTTCACTATCGTACTTATATATATGTCGTACCCCAGATTGGAATCCGCCCGATTCAGAATCCGGCTGTCCCAATTCAGAATCGGGGTAGCCGGATTTAGAATTCTTATACGGGGTACCCGGTTCAATAATTAGTAAGGTTAGGATTAGGGTTAGAATATTAGTATAGTGAGCCGGGTACCCCGTATAAGAATTCTAAATCCGGCCGTCCTGATTCTGAATCGGGGCAGCCGGATTCCGAATCGGGCGGATTCCAAATCCGGGTACAACATATATATATATATATATATTTTTACCCACTATTCGACAACTTATAATAATAATAATAATAATAAGTAATACATTAATTACCATTTCATTAACGACTTGCTCTGCTGTGTCTTTTTCAACGTTAAATTCAAATTTAACGGATAATTTATCCATTCCTTTGAAAACAACTTGCAGGGTTAGTTGAGTTTTTGCGTTATCTGCAGTTAATAACACCACTTCTGGCTCTACTGCAAGAAAACGATGTTCCATTATTTGCTGTGCAGTGTACCTTTTATATTAAAATAGATTACAACTATTGTCAATCACATGAATGATTACTCAATGTGTAATACATTTTTATCAAAATATTACAACCTTTCATTTTCGTGATCTAGACAATGTTGTATCAAGTCCAGGATATCTGGGTCTTTAACCTTAATTAGACCCGCCGGCTTTATGCCCTATAAACAAAATTAATAGAGTGTGGAAATATCAATACAAAGTTGGTTATATAAGTTCCATTTTTTAAAATAATAATAATAATAAATAAAAATAGTTACCGAAGTGACTTTTTTATATACTTGAGGTGCATTCTCGCATTCAATGTATGGATATTCGCCGGTAACCATTTCAAGAAGGCACATGCCAAACGCATAGATATCGACCTTTTCGTTATATCCTTTTTCTTCGTACATTTCGGGAGCCATGAACTCAGGAGTCCCTACATTTTATAATTTGCGAATAAATAATTCGCAAACATTCATTTAGAATGCCGATTGTTGAGGTATCGGGCACCAATATTTAAAACCACGATAGCAAACCCAGCTGGGATTTGTTACTACTGCATACCGATGACGGTATACTTTTTTCCCAACTTCATCTTGGCCGTTCCCATGTCACCAATTTTCACTTCCCCATGAGCGCCATTGATAAAGATATTGTCACATTTGATATCACGATGAATAATTGGTGGATTATGTGAATGTAGGTATATAAGGCCTTTGAGAATTTGGCGTGACCATCGTTTCACTATTTTCGTATTTGGTAATGAGAGTTTTCGAATGTATCTGAAAAAAAAATTTGTTACGATGAAAATGGATTTATTTGATAATTAATCGTATCAACTTAGTATTAAAGCTTTTACGGTGAAATAATGTAAGAATATAATAAACCCACTGCCGCAAAGTTCCAGAAGTCATTAATTCTGTGACGAAAATGAATTCGGCGTCCTTATACCAACAATCATGGAAGTTGATTATGTTTGGATGGCGAACCTGCTTTAAAATTTTTATTTCCAAACTCAAGTCATTAAATTCAGCTCTCGTTGTCTAAAGTTAGAAATTTGAAAATAAGTAAAATGTGTT